GCGAATATCTCATTGACAAAGCATTTCTATTCCATGCCCTAGTACGCAACCAGTGAACTCACCTCAGGCTTTGCCCATGCTACAGATGCAACTGGTTAAACAACTTGTTTCCAAAGGGGAGGGCCCAAGAAAAATGAGAAGTGTTTCACGGAGAAATTTCAGTTACTTTTGGCACTCGTGTCTGTGTGTATTGCTTTGTATGCCTAGGTGGCGTTTCAATGTCTGTTTCTGTTTCTATTTCCATTTCCTTTCCTTCTTTGCCCTTACTTGTTTGTCACACACTGGATCTTGCACAACCCTGAAATCACCAAGTCAGTTTACACACTATTTTTGTGCGCAGTAGTACATCACCAGTTCCTCCCAATAGTTGGTTTGGTGGCTTTTTTCTCCAGTTCATTTTGCTGCCCTCCGCTTTTCGATTAAAGGATCTTCATTTGAGGGCAGCTTGTTGTTGGGTTTAGGAAACAGGGCATGATTCACAGGGTCAGTAATAGGTTGCGTTGTTTTTTATGCTGAGGTCACCAGTTTAAACCCAGTGAGCCTCCAGTGACTGAAAGCATCTGAGGACAGCTAGGTGGTTTGTGTGAAATGCCAGCAAGTCTCAGGCCATGTCCAGTGGTGCCTCTGTCATAGAAATCCACTCTGTAACCAGTGCTAATTAGCAAGCTCAGCAGAGCAGAATTCTTCACTTACCTACACAGGCCGCTGTAATGAAATGGTGCAGTGCTGCTGCTGCATCTGCTCTGCCTTGTCTGTGAGCCAGAAGAAATCTTTCACCTCCCAAAGTGGGCACCTCTCAGCAGCATGACATTTCCTGAAAATAAATCGTTTGGTCTTTAAATTGGGTGCATCTACACGTGCATTAATACACTTCAGTTAACGCACATTAAATCTAGTTCCCCCATTGTGAGGTCCTGGGAAAATGCGCATTAGCCTGTCTTAATGTGCATAGCACAGGGTGCCTAAAGATGTGCTGCAGGGCTGCTCCGATAAACTGTAATTCCAGCACATCAGAGCAGACTCGGTTAATCAAGTCTGCTGGAGCGTGGCAATTGCTGTGCTGTGCTCCAGCCAGCCTCTGCATCTCATGTATTAGTGTCCCCACACTTCAAGACGGCAGCGGAGGCACTTGTCAAATGAGCTTTAGTTCAAGAAAGATGCTGCAGCATTTTAGAGTGGCTCTTACAGCCACTCTAATTAAAGTGCCTCCTCACCCACCAGAGCAAGTGCCCACAGTTTTTAAGTGATCCTTAGGATGCCTATACACATAGAGCAAGGCTGCTCCAACACGCTGTAATTATAGCGTGTTGGAGCACACTCAGTTAATCCAGTCTGCTGCAGCATGGTAATTACCATGCTCCAGCAGACTCCAGCGTCACATGTATCAGCATCCCTGCGAGAAAAATGGCGGCAGGGGTACTTTAACTAAAGCTCGTTCAACAAGCTTTGGTTCAAGCACCCGTCGCCATTTTGCAACACAGGGACGTCAATACACGTGACGCTCTGAGCACTTTAATTAGAGTGGTTCTGTGAATTAACTAAATAACAAGTTTTTTCAGTGATGCTTTAATGCACATTAAAATAGGCTAATGCACATTCAAGTGTACCTATAGACATAGCCATTGTGATGCAGAAAATTTCCATATAGGCTGCCAGGTTTGGGTAAGAACAACAAACCTCCCTAGGCCTTACCAAGAAACACAGCTTCCTCTTCTAATCTCTAGTGGAGGTCACTTGCAACACTGACTTGTATCATTATGCTATCAGGTGCTCTTGGATTGTTTAGGTAGCTTAGGCTCAGGACTCTTTGTATGCCCTGCTAGGTCTTCCCACACCCGATTAGCTTCCCATCCCTGAGAAAGCAGCTGGTTTAGGAAGCTGTTTTCTGTGCTCCACGGGAAGGTTTCTTTTTATCAGAAGTACAGGACTCTTACAAGGTTTCCGCTGGAATTCCCAGCTGGGAAAGGAAGAGTTTCTCTGAAAGGAAATCCACGTGGCACTTTCCCTTCTCTGTGCTAGGCCAGTCATGGGGATTGTCGGCTAAACTGTGTCGATACATGTGGAAAAGGGAACTGACCACAATTCAGGAGACCATTTTCACACACAACAGAGCAACGTATGCTGCCTCTACCCCCACTCTGTTCCCTCACAGCCACATGAGTCAGAAGGGAGAGCAACAAACAGGGGATGGTGAGTGAGTAGAGGAGAGTGGTTGATCCCAAATGCAGAACAGGACTGCCTCTGTGGGGAAAACTCAGTGGAAAGAGCAGTCGTGTCATGCACACTTGTTAACAGCACTTGCTGAGCAGACGTAGCCACAGCTGCCTTGATCACTCAGGGGTTACAGTGAAACAAACTATTAAGGGAAGTTACTCTTCAAAGGAAGCAAGCGTAGGTCCTGGAAGCCCTTTGCACACAGGGTACCTGATGGCTGTAGGGTGCTGGGGTATAGTTTCATAGTTTCTAGGGTCGGAAGGGACCTGA